GGCCGAGATCTGAGGATCATCATTCAGTGTCAGCCTGGCAGATAAATCCAAGAGATTATTTGCTCTTAGCTAGCCAGCAAAAAGCTGGAAGTGTTGGTATGGCTCAAATGGTAGAGTGCCATCCTTGATCTAAAATGCCGAGGGAAAAAGTATGAGGCTCTGAGTTCAAGTCCTAGTACCAGCACAAATAAACCAAAACAAAACACATATTAAAAAAAAAAAAAAGCAAGCACTGGACCACTGAGCTACCCCTAATCCATCTCTGTCTTTAAATAGTTGATATTTTTTGTGTCTTAAGAAATAATTTTCTATCCCCACATTATAAAGCTATTGTTCCATAAGAGCTTCAAAAACCTTATTATTTCTCTTCTACATGTAGATATGTAGTTATGTAGTTCATTAGAATTTATTTTCATAGTTGGTATTCTAATTCATTAATGCTTCTAATGCTTCTCTGCATTCAGTAATTTTTTTTTAATGTTTTATCCAGTTCTCTTCAGCAGGGTGGTTGCCTGAATTGCCTATTCCCAGAAGCAGAAATAATCTTAGCTTTTTAGAATGGAAACTCAGAATTTTATTAGTGCACAAAATATCATTAAATTCTTGTCATGACGTTTGTCATGTTAAATTTGTTCACATGAGCATTTCAGGTTGTACAGTAGATTGACACCATTACCACAGAAATCCTTTGAAAATTTTGTTTTCACTTTGATCTGAAAATAATCTGTTTTTGTTTGATGCTTTGGGCTTAATCTCCAGCATGTATGTGTATGGCTCTCTCTCTCACACACACACATACACACAAATCTGTCTTGTTAGGGAGCCTTAATGAATATATTTACTAAAAACTAACTTTCCAAAGGACTGAAAAACTATATGCTGTAGCTTCATGACTCTTTTCTATTTTTGTATACTGTTTTCTCATTTAAAAATGAGACCAAAAAGGAGCTTCTGTTTGTTCAGCGCTTCTCTCAGGTTGTTGCATTTCCCGCAGGGTAGTTTCAGAGCACTAATCACAGGAAGAATTCAAGTGAACGAATGCATACTAGCCAACATTGGCTTGGTAAGAAAACAGATTAACACGATACCGCCAACCCGCTTTCTCTGGTTACTCACGAATTCAAACCTCTCTGTTCCAGAGATGGACTCTATGCCAACCACATCCAGAATGCTGTTAGTTTCTGCTACAAAATATGAGAAACTGTTTTCAGTTGATGGCAACTAGAACAGTGGCATATGATGCTCCGGAACTGTTTTTACAGCGAGCACAGGGACAGAACAGCAAACTCTCATGGTTGTTGGCACAGAAAAGCTGGCTACGTGGCTGATGTTAAATTTGCCTTTCAAGACAGCCAGATCAAGAAATGGCTGAAGGCTTTTGCAGTTAGTAAACACAGCTCCGGGAAGCCATGGCTAGGCGTTGCTGGGGGAGCCTTTTGCAGCTTCCAGCAGCCTAGCTCAGGGGAGGCGCCGGAAAGGAAAACCTGACGTGGCCTCTGGGGAATGTTGCCCAGCGCATAGAGGCTCCCTGAAGGCAGAGAGCTGTCCAGGCTCCGTGCCCAGTGCCAGGCTACCTTACCCTAACCATCTCCATCTTTGAGATTTACCAGGAGTGAGGTGGTTTCCCTGAGTTGCTGGGACTAAGCAAGTGTTTGTCTCCAGTACAGCCATGCCCTTCCTCTGTGCTCAGCCCCAGTTAGCACTGAATGGCTCCCAAAATGCAGTCTGGGGTCTCCTCTCCACCAGTCCATTGAAGACTCTTTCAGAGGGTCCTCAAGGTCCCAGCTAATTTAATTTATACTTGAGCGCCATATACCATTTAAATGCATTCTCCTGAGGCTGCAGAGCTTGTGATACAACAACAGATTGAAAGCCAAAGCTTCTAGAATGATCCATTTGTCATCCTGTTGTTCCCATACTCTCCTCCTCCTTGTCTCCCTCCCTACTGTCCCTTCCCTGTCCTACTCCTGTCTTCTTTCCCTCTCTGTATATCTATTCCCTCTCCATATATCTATATTTCTCTCTTTATATGTATGTATATACCATATAAATGGGACCTAAGGGGAGAGGGAAGAGAGAGAGAGAGAGAGAGAGAGTGTGTGTGTGTGTATATGTGTGTGTGTGTGTGTGTGTGTGTGTGTGTGTCTTGGACATTGGCTGCTCAATCCTATAATCCTCAAGAGGCTGAAATCTGAAGATCAAGGCTCAAAGCTAGCCCAGGCAGGAAAGTCCATGAGAGTCTAATCTCCAATTAACCACCAGAAAACTGGAAGTGGTGCTATGGCTTCAAGTGGTAGAGTACTACTAGTCTTGAGCAAAAAGAGCTTTGGGACATTGGCCAGGCCCTGAGTTCAAGCCCCATGACTGACCAAAAGAAGAGAAGAGAGAGAGAGAGGAGAGAATATCTCTATATATCTCTATACATCTTTGACTGTATTGGGATTTGAACTCTAGGCCAGGCTCTAAGCGAGAGTCTTACCCCTTAAGCCATACTTTAAGCTCTTTTGCTATGTTTCTTTTTCAGATTAGGTCTCACTAGGTCAGCCTTGGACTGTGGTCCCCTTACCTTTGTCTCAAGTAGTGATCCTCAAACCCATTTACCTTGGAACCCCATTTCATTCGTAAAAATTACTGACAACTACAAAAGTGTCTCTATGTTAATTATAATTATCAATATTTATCATACCACAAAGTAAAACTATGAAATCTTTAAAATATTAGTTCATTACAATTTACTAATAATAAGGTATCACATTTTAAAAATTCAAATTATGCTATTTCAAAGGATTAAATCCATGAGAAAAGCACCACGTCTTACAATTTGATAAGCATCTTTAATGTGTGCCCTGAAGCCAGGTGTCTCTGTGTTGACCAAATCTTAACAGTTGGCAGGCAGAATACTTGAGTACGCTCAGAACACTGTATCGAGTAGACAGTTTTTCCTAGCAATGTGTGTGTTTATTCCACAAGAGTTTTTGAGCGCGTCCCTGTCTAAATGATTGTGATAGCATGACAAACATATGCAGACGCTGCCTTCTGGAAGCTTATAACCTGTAGTGTGCATGCACATAAACAAGTGCAGACACATGCAGCAAGCCCAATTACTAGCTTAAAGGAAGAATGCACCCAGCTTACGAGCGAGAAGAGAGGGCATCACGAAAGACTTTACAGTAGCCCGGCGCCAGTGGCTCACGCCTGTGATCTTAGCTACTCAGGAGGCTGAGATCTGAGGATCATGGTTCAAAGCCAACCCAGGCAGGAAAGCCTGTGAGACTCCTATCTCCAATAAACCACTCAGAAAACCAGAAGTGGTGCTGTGGTTCAAGTGGTAGGTGCATTAGCCTTGAGCTGAAGAGTGGAGAGACAGCACCCAGGCCCAGAGTTCAAGTCCCTTGACCTACCACAAACAAACAAAAGACTTCACAGTTGTTTCCTGAGCCTGCACTGCCAGTGGACGCGGCATGCACCGGGCCCAACTTGCACAGCATGCATGGCCAAGTGGTGCTCTAGGAAACGGAAAACAGTGCAGCTTTTGTGAGATGAAACCAGTGGGTGGGCCATACCAGTCCTGTATAACACACAGGGGAAATGGCTTGTACTTTTTGTTTTGCCAATACTGGGGCTTGAACTCAGGAACTGGGTGCTGTCTCTGAGCTTCTTTTGCACAAAGCTAGTGCTGTACCACTTAATATAGTTTGGAGTCATTAATAAGTTCCACTTCTGGCTTTTTGGTAATTTATTTATTTACTTGTTTGTTTATTGGTCAGTCATGGGGCTTGAACTCTGGGCCTGGGCACTGTCCCTCAGCTCTTCAGCTCAAGGCTAGCGCTCTCCCACTTGAGCCACAGTGCCACTTCTGGCTTTTTCTGCTTATGTGGTGCTGAGGAATCAAACCCAGAGCCTCATGCATGTGAGACAAGCACGCTACCACTGAGCCACCTTCCCAGCCCATTTTTTGGTAATTTATTGAAGATCCAAGTCTCACAAACTTTCCCTGGTTTTGAACATGATCCTTAGATCTCAGTCTTGAGTTGCTAGGATTACAGGTGTGAGTCATTGGCGCCCAGCTCTAAACTTACTTTTGAGAAAGGACTTCTGGGACTAACAGTAGTAGAGACAACAATATTTTGTCTGAAATTTATTGATTCAAGCAATATAAGTGAAATATGCAGAGGTAGTTATTGTGACAGAATGTAGGCCTAAAGCCATGGGAAATGAATGCACTGTCACTCAAGTGCTAAGGAAATTACCACTGTTACTTGATTTGGTGATGGGAAAGGGAATCACAGAAAAAGTGAGACAAAGGACAAAGGGCAAACCAGTGCAGCAGCAATACTCACAAGACACTATGTTGGAAATGAACTTTACAACTTGGGGGAAGGGAGTCGGGGTGGGAAAGCAGGAGAAAGTGAGGTGGGGGGGTAACAATGTTCCACAGGATTTGTACTCATTTCTGTTCTTATGTAACTGTAACACTTTTGAATATCACCTTTACAATAAAAATTTTAAAAAATTACCAGTGAGCTACATCCCCAGCTTTAAGTCCACATTATTAATAGCCATTTGGTTTTTATTGAGTGGGGTTTGGGTGCTCTGTCTTATACTAGGCATTTTTTACACACTTAATTTACACTTGGAAAGTACCCTCTGAAGCCAGGGATGCTGCTGCACAATTATAATTGTAGCTACTTAGGAGGCAGAGACAGGAAGGACTTTGAGTTCCAGACCAATCTGGGCCATGGACAAAAACAAAATACAAACAAGAAGTCTGTGGGTGTAACTTGAGTGGGAGATTGCCTTTGTAACATGTGTGAAATCCTTGGTTCAGTTCCCACTACCACCTGTAGTCCTGGAAGATGCTGTTCCTATCCAGTGGATCAGAAGCTAAGGGTCTGAGTCAGGCCACAGGCTCACAAGTAGCTGTACTTGGTGGAGACTGTTCGCCCTGCTGCCAACGTGCCCAGAGCATGGAGATCATTGTGATGTTTCTCTCTTTCCAGGGTTTTGGTTTTTTGCACTGAATGTAACTTAGACTCATCGTCTCTGGCTGGTGTTGCCCCTGGATACTGTCAAAGGTAAGTTTCAAAAGTTTAAATCTACCATGTACTTGCAATAAAACAGGAGTATTAATTGTAAAAAGAAAAGAAAATATTGTGATATTCTTTGCAGTGTTCTTTTAGAAGGATGTTTGAAGTGATAGTTTCTCCTTTGTTAGTTCTGACTGTCTGTCTGCAGTACTGGGGATTGAACCCATGGCCTGAAACAAGCTAGGCGTATGCTTTACCACTTGACCTGTGACCCCACACCTTTTGTTTTTATTTTTCAGACAAGATTTTACTACTGGAGCTGGGAAGATGGCTCAGTGGTAGAGCGCTTGCCTTGCATACCTGAGGCCCCGGGTTCAATTCCTCAGCACCACATAAGCAAAAAGAAAAAAAGCCGAAAGTGGCGCTGTGGCTCAAGTGGTAGAGCCTAGCCTTGAGCTGAAGAGCTGAGGGACAGCGCCCAGGCCCAGAGTTCAGGCCCCACGACCGACCCCCCCCCCCCAAAAAAAAAAAAAAAAGATTTTACTACTACCTTCTTGCCTGATCCCCCTGCCTCCACCTCCTGAGTAGCTGGGATTATAGATGTGTGCCACTATGCTCCACTGTGGTAGTTCCACTACAGTGTCTGGTGTTGGAGCTAGGGGTGCAGCTCAGTGGTAGAGTTTTTGCCTAGAATGTGAGAGGCCTTGGGATCCCCAGCCCACATGTGTACACAGGCACACTTGTACATGTGCACGTACTAACTACAAAAGCATGGGTACTCACATTGATGCTGAGTTTAGTCATCAGGAGTAGGAATTCACACAGTTTCACAGAAATGTATCACTTGTTTCTTTGCGTCTAGTCCTCACTGCTCCAACCTGAAGTCCACATACTACCCCAGCTGGTTTTCTGAATGAGCATTAGACATGTCCACTCCTTTACTGAAACAGCCCCTATGACTTACAGTGGCTGAAGATGCTAGTCTACAAACCCCTCCAAAACTTAATTCCAGTCATCGGTTCTGGCTTCTTTAATGTGGAATTCCTCTCTTTGGAATTCCTCCCTTCTTTATTTTTCCTTCCCTCGCTTTTCTTTCCTTTTCCCCTCCCTCCCTCTTTTCCCTTCCTCTCCCATCTCTCTCCCTTCCATTTTCCTTCTCGTCCTCTTCCTTCTCCTCCTCTCCCTCCTTTTTCTCCTTCCTTTCCTTTTCTTTATTTCTGTACTAGGGCTTGAACTTAAGTCCTGGGTGCTGTCCTTAGTTTCTTTTTTGCTTTTGTTTGTTTGTTTATTTTTGCTGGCCATGGGACGTGAACTCTGGGCCTGGGCGCTGTCCCTCAGCTCTTCAGCTCAAGGCTAGTACTCTACCACTTGAGCCACAGCGCTACTTCCAGCTTTTTCTGATTATGTGGTGCTGAGGAATTGAACCCAGGGCCTCTTGCATGCAAGGCAAGCTCTCTACCACTGAGCCACCTTCCCAGCCCCTGTTTTTTAAGTTAAGGCTAGTCTTCTACCACTTGAGCCACAGCTCTTCTGGCTTTTTGCTGGTTAATGGAGTCTCAGGGACTTTCCTGTCCTGGCTGGCTTACAACCTTGATGTTTAGATCTCTGAGTAGCTGGGATTACAGGAGTGAGCCACTGATACCTGTTTGTCTCTGTTTCTGTCTCTGTCTCTCCCCTTCCTTTCCTCCCTTTTATACTGGGATTAAGTTCAGGACTGCAGACAGCTGACAAGAAGTGTAGAAGCATATGTATGTGACCCCTGTCTTGTACTAAATGATCTATCACTGAGCTATACCTCAGCCTCCTTCTATAAGTCCGACCAGACTATTTTCTGTTTTGCAGATATAGTTCTTACAGTTTTATGTCTTATTGGTATTTTTCTCTTCCCGTAGAATTTGGGACAGATAGGAAGAATACAACTCCTCGTCCCTCCCTTTTCTACCTTCCATTGTCTCCTTCTCCCAGACTCTGTAGAATTTCTAAATTCTAAAAGCACTATTGCTGCAGTAATAAAACATCCATTATTGTACATTAAAATTATTTATTTGTTTCTGTTAGCTTTGCTAGTCTATAAACTCTTTGAGATGTTTTTGGAAAGGAACTTTCTTAGATTTATTTTTAATAGATTATATAAAAGTGATACATTTTTATGGGGTAAATGTGATGTTTTGACACAGGTATACATTGTGTTATGTTTAAGTCAGGGTAACATCTGTCTCCTCAAATATTGGTCATTTATTTCTTTGTTAGTGAAAATACTTACAAGCCTTTTCTCTAGCTTTTTGAAATATGAAGAAAATTATTTTCACTAATAGTCATTCTGTGCAAAGCACACCTGAACTGGGAGTGAACTTATTTTTAATGCCTCTTGACTACTCTTGGACACCTTGCTAAGAACATATGTATATTTTAGACTATTTCTTCCTGCCTGGTTTTGTGGATAAAAATACAGAATATTAAAATTAACTTTTCCAAGATAATAATTAATAACTGACAAAGAATGATTCAGTTGCCTCAAAATCAAAGGTCATTCTGGGTTCTGTTCTGCACTAGCCCAGTACTATCTAGCATGCTGTAGGGACTCAGTAGATGTTTATTAAACTAATCTGAATTGAATTTTTTAATTTTTTTTTGGTGATAGTGGAGTTTAAACTTGGATTCATGCTCAAATGGGCAGGCATTCTACTTGAGCCATGTCCTCAGTTCTTTTTTGCTTTAGATCATTTTCAGTTAGAGTCTAACACTTTTTACCCAAAGCTAGGGATCCTTTTATTGTGCCTTCTGTGATGCTGGGTTTATAGGCATGTGTCACCGTAACCAACTTGCATTACATTTTAAATTTTAAAAGGCATTTCAGGGGGTGGGGAGAGATGGGAAGGGATGGGAAGGGGAAACAAAGGAGGAGGCAACAATGCTTGATAAGAAATGTGTTCATTACCTTGCCCATGTAATTGTAACCCCTCTGTATGGTATTTTCACAATTAAAAAAAAAAACACTTCAGGGGCTGGGAATGTGGCTTGATGGTAAAGTGCTTACCTAGGATGCATGAAGCCCTGAGTTCGGCCGGGCGCTGGTGGCTCATGCCTGTAATCCTAGCTACTCAGAAGGCTGAGATCTGAGGGTTGCGGTTCAAAGCCAGCCCGGGCAGGAGAGACCGTGAGACTCCTATCTCCAATAAACCACCAGAAAACCGGAAGTGGCGCTGTAGCTCAAGTGGTAGAGCGCTCGCCTTGAGCTGAAGAGCTGAGGGACAGCACCCAGGCCCAGAGTTCAAGCCCCACAACCGACAAAAAAAAAAAAAAAAGCCCTGAGTTCGATTCCTCATATACGGAAAAAGCCAGAATTGGTGCTGAGGCTCAAGTGGTAGAGTGCTAGCCTTGAGCAAAGAAGCTCAAGGACAGTGCCCAGGGCCTGAGTTCAAGCTCCAGGACTGTCAAAAAAAAAAAAAAAAAGAACTTTTGCTGGGCACCAGTTGCTTACACCTGTAATCCTAGCTACACAAGAGATCTGAGGATTGTAGTTCAAAGCCAGCCCGAGCAGCAAAGTCCATGAGACTCTTATCTCCAATTAACCACCAGAAAACTGGAAGTGGTGCTGTTGATCAAGTGTTAGAGTACTAGCCTTGAGCTGAAGAGCTCAGGGACAGTCCCCAGGCCCAGAGTTCAAGACCAATGACTGACAAAAAAAAGAAGCACTTTCAGTTGATTGTCATTCTTCTATAGAAACTCAGGTACAAGTTTAAAGTAGGCTGAACATAGAAATTAAGAATTAGTAGCTGGGTATTGATGGTTAGTATTCCTAAGCTGCCAGGACACTAAGTTCTGAAGATTGTGGCTCAACACCAACTTGCTGGAAAATCTGTGAAACTCATCTCCAATTAACCACCAAAGAGCCAGAAATGGAGAGGTGGTTCACATGATAGAATGCAAGCCTTGAACAAAAAAGCTAAGGGTTGGAAGTGGTGCTGTAGCTCAAGTGATAGAGCACTAGCCTTGAGCTGAAGAACTGAGGGACAGCGTTCAGGCCCAGAGTTCAAGCCCCACAACCGACAAAAAAAAAAGCTAAGGGGGCTGAGTGCTGATGGCTCATGCCTGTAATCCTAACTACTCAGGAGGCTGAGATCTGAGGATCCTGTTCAAAGTCAGCCTGGGCAGGAAAGTTTGTGAGATCTCCAATTAAAAACAAACAACAAAACACCAGAAAACCAGAAATAGCGCTGTGGCTCAAATGGTAGAGAGCTTGCCTTGAGCTGGAGAGCTGAGGGACAAGGCCCTGGCCCAGAGTTCACTATCGACAAAAAAAAAAAAAAAAAGCTAAGGGACCTATGTAGATTACAGGCTATAATCCTAGCTACTTAGGAGACTAAGATCAAGGATCACGACTCAAAGCCAGCCTAGGCAGGGAAGTCCATGGTGCAGGGAGAAGGGGAGGTGGTTTCACAGTGAAATCCCTATTGCATTTGGATATATCTCACATTTTCAGGCCATACCAAATTATCCATACAGGCTGCAGACAGCTGACAAGAAGTGTAGAAGCATATGTATGTGACCCCTATCTTGTACCAAATGATTTCAAGGACCTTCTATAGCACAAGGATCAAATGTTCCTTACCCCTGACAGGATCTACATGAGCAAATTAACTCAGTAAAGTGTTACAGAGTCTATAGTAGAAATCAGACAGATGTCACTGGGGGCACTGAGAATTGTCACTTTTCCCTAGAGAGGCTCAAGAAATACTTTATAAAGATTGAATCTGTGTATGTGTATGCACACATGCGCACGTGTGCACGTGCATGGTAGTACTCAGCCTTGAACTCAGAATCTCAGGGTTTTGCTTAGCTTTTGTGCTTAAGGCTAGCACTACCACTTAAGCCACAATTCCACTTCTGAAAATTGAGTCTAACATAACAAGTTAGTGTGTTAGTTTGCAGCAGCAGGAGAGAGAGAGGCTGGAGAAATCTGAACCAATCTGGCATATTGGTAAAGCTACAAGTATTTTTCAGTATGGCTGTAACAAGGAAACCAGACACATGAGGCTGGAGAGATG